ATTGCGAATTAAATTGGTCGACAACTAGGTCTCTGATTAATAAATGGTTTTCAGCCAAGAGAAGTCGCTACTGTTCGACATTCCAGGTAACCGTCAGGCTAAAGAGCTGGTTCATTCCTACAGTTATGGTAAAGTATCTGTCTTCAGCAGAACAGAGTTGAGGTTGCTGGCAGGATATTGAACGGTTCACCATGGACAAAATGGGTCTGTCTGAAGAGATAGATTGTCGACTCTACTTAGAAGCAGAGGAGAGTTCCAGTCATATTCTTTGTGACTGCCCAGCCTTGATCTGGGCCAGGAGGAGGTCACTGGGACGAGAACTACCCAACATTCTGGCTTTCATTCGGAAGGCGGAATGTCTTCTGTTCGGTTAAGGTCTGTTGCAGCACAAAAGATCGATCATGGTCCACTTCATTAGGAGCTAGTACCCTGTTTATTCCAATTCCTAACCTTATTATTTGTTGGTTTTTTGATGTGTTAAAATAAAATCAATTATATATTCGTTTACTTAATAACACTACACGATAAATAAATTATACATAATTAACGGTTGAAACCATAATTTCAAACGTTAAACGTAACAAGCTATGTTAAATTTTTCAAATATTATCCTTTGTGGTACTTCCTTTAATGTACGTCCTTTTAGCATTAGAAATATTTTTGGATTTTCCTATAAGTGGTAGTGCGGTAAGTGCTTTATTTTGGAAGCAAACTTAAATTTCTTTCTGAAAAGAACATGTCAACAGCGTTATTAATGATATCTTTTTTTACAGCGTTGAAAATTATTTAAATGACAATTCATGAAGGAATTTTAATGCTTTTATTTATTTTTCGCTTAAAAATTTGTTAAATTTATTGGAGCCAAAATAGCGAATCCAAATGAAATTTATCTAAAAACATATTGCTCGAGGATATCAGCAAGGAATTTAAGTGTGTACTTTTATCTTATAAATTATGACTAAAACTCCAGTTTTTTGAGTGTGTACATATATTTACATGCACTATCGAAATATCTACGTGTTCCAGCATTTTGAGTTCATATGTTCTAAGATACATATTTTATGTTCTCTTATTCGAACGAAATTTGGTCGATCTGTGTGGGCTTCTGTTTGTACTTGTGTAAATAAATATCGTTACTTTAATAGGTTTCCATTATTTATACACATATGGAGTCATCAGTTAAAGTTATAAAGTGGCAAAAAGTTATAGCTTCAATTCATCAAAATAACCAAATACGAATTAAAACTTCATGATAATTTGCGTAGGAAAGTGTCAGTCACTATTTATCTTCTGTGGTGTGCGACATGTCCTTTGGATGATGTTGCTGTTTATTTATTAAAATATGTGTCATGAATATTATAAATTATAGAAGTAATGTCATCAACATATCAGACTCCACAATCTACATAATTGAATTTTTTTCTACTGAAAAGAAAAGCACCGCATATTTGCTGCAAATAAAAAAATGTCAAATTTATGTGGAAATGACAGTCATATTTTCATTTTCGTAATTTTCCTAATCGATGGGATTAGGGGGATGGGATTGAACATGCAAGGTAAAGTGTCTGATTGCATTTAACATGGTAAATGCCAGCGCGATCCTTGTCACTGTTCTCTCCAAGTTGACACACAGCCTCCACGTGGCCCCTCTGGATAGCTACAATCATCCGTGCGTAGTGAACTAATGTGTGCAGCGAAATCCACCTCAGGGATATATGAGGTTTTGCGTCGGGCTTGGAACCCACCATTTAAAAAAAATCTTTTCAATGCAAACGAAGAGGCAGCCTCGGATAAGGAAACGATCTACTGATGACGACAAACGCAAACGTATTAAGGAACACGATTTAAAAATATGCACCTGGAATGTCCGAACTCTTTACAGAGAAGGTGCATCTATACAGCTGGTTAATGTCCTCAAGGAATATAAGGCTGACATTACCGCTCTCCAGGAAATGCGATGGACGGGACAAGGATGCTCTAAACGAGATCATTGTGACATCTACTACAGCTGCCATGCAACAAAGCACGAGTTTGGAGTCGGATTTGCGGTAGGCCAAAAGCTGAGAAATTTGGTCTCAACGTTTACACCAATAAACGAAAGGCTCGCAAAAATTCGGATTAAGGCAAAATTTTTCTTTATCACTCTAATATGTGCGCACGCCCCGACGGAAGATAAAGATGACGACACCAAGGAAATTTTCTATGAACAACTTGAACAAGCATATGAACGCTGTCCCCATCATGACATCAAAATAGTTGTTGGAGACTTCAACGCAAAGGTGGGTAAAGAAGGTATCTTTGGTGCTACTGTCGGAAAGTTCAGTCTTCACACGAAAACTTCTGATAATGGAAGAAGGCTGATTGATTTCGCCGCGGCTAGAAACATGGTGGTTAGTAGTACCAGATTCCAGCATCTCAACATACATAAGGCAACATGGCTGTCACCTGATCAAAACACAAGATCTCAAATTGATCACGTTGTGATAGACGGAAGGCATGCTTCCAGTGTCTTGGATGTACGTACTATCCGTGGAGCCAACATCGACTCGGATCATTACCTTGTTGCAGCCAAGATCCGCACACGTTTATGTGCGATGAAAAAGGTACGTGAACAAGCACAGCGAAAGCTAGACGTCGAAAAGCTGCAATCACAACAGACAGCTAATGACTTCGCTACTCGACTCTCCCAATATCTGGAAAATTCATCTAAAGAAGCCGATATATGCGCACAATGGAAACACATCTCCAACTCTATGCGTACCGCTGCAGAAGAGGTGATCGGCTATCACCGTATACAAAGAAACAGCTGGTATGACCAATAGTGTCGCAATGCTACCGCACAGAAAGACGCAGCATATCAAGCCATCCTGCGGTCAGTTGCGACGCGCGCTGTTAAAGAGCGATATCGGCAAAAGAGAAGGGAAGAGAAACGTCTTTTCAGGCGAAAAAAGAAGGAAACAGAAAGACGTGAGTACGAAGAGCTTGAGAAGCTAGGCGACAGGAATATGGCTTGAAAATTCTATCAAAAAATTAAAAGCCTGACAAATGGTTATAAACCCGGAGCTAATTCCTGCAAAGGTGAAAACGGTAATCTGGTGATAGATGTCCAAAGCATGTTTAATATTTGGAGGGATCACTTCTCGAAACTACTAAATGGCGGTAGTAGCAATGTGACTGAAAGCGAAGATGATCCCGAATTTTCAATCGTTGACGATGAAATAATCGTCCCGCCTCCCGATCATAATAAAGTTAAAACAGCTATAACGCGGCTCAAAAACAACAAAGCTGCAGGCGCCGATGGTTTACCGGCTGAGCTGTTTAAAGCTGGTGGCGCAGAGTTTTGGTCGGACAACATTTGGTCGGATATATGCATGCCCAACGATTGGAATTTAAGTGTGCTTTGCCCAATCCACAAAAAAGGTGATCGTGCAAACTGCGCCAACTACCGCGGGATCAGTCTTTTAAATATCGCATATAAGGTTCTGTCAAACGTACTATGTGAAAGATTGAAGCCAATCGTCAACCAACTGATTGGACCTTATCAGTGTGGCTTCAGATCTGGCAAATCCACTCTAGACCAGATATTCACTGTGCGTCAAATCCTGGAGAAGACTCAAGAAAAACAAATCGACACACACCATCTTTTTGTCGACTTCAAAGCTGCTTTTGATACTACGACTAGAAGCACACTCTTTGCCGCTATGTCTGAATTTGGTATCCCAGCAAAACTTATACGGCTATATAAAATGACGTTGAGCAACACCACCAGCTCCGTTAGAATTGGAAAGAACCTCTCCGAGTCGTTTGATACCAAACGAGGTTTCAGACAGGGTGACTCCTTGTCGTGTGACTACTTTAACCTAATGTTGGAAACGATAATTCGAGCAGCAGCTTTAAACCGTACGGGCACAATATTCTACAAAACTGTAATGCTGCTTGCGTATGCCGACGATATTGATATCATTGGTCGTCAGTGCAGCATTTTCCAACTTAGAAAAACAAGCAAAGCAAATTTGTCTTGTGGTAAATGAGAACAAAACAAAGTACTTTCTGTCAACAAACAAATCTCCTGAGCGTCTTGGGTCCTACGTCACTTTTGACAATTATAAGTTCGAAGTTGTGAAAGACTTTATTTATTTAGGAACCATCTTAAACACCAAAAATGACGTCAGCCTAAAGATTCAACGAAGAATTACTCTTGCCAACAAATGCTACTTCGGGCTAAGTAAGCAATTGAGAAATAAAGCCCTCTCTCGACAAACAAAAATCACGCTCTACAAATCCCTTATCATGCCTGTCCTTGGACAATTACCAACAGTGATGAGAAGGCGTTAGGAGCATTCGAGAGAAAAATTCTTCGGAAGATCTATGGTCCCTTACGCGTTGGCGACGAGTATCGAATTAGATGGAACGATGAGCTGAATGAGCTATACCGCGACATTGACATAGTTAAACGCATAAAAATTCAGCGGCAACGCTGGCTTGGTCATGTCGTGCGAATGGAAGAAAGTGCTCCGGTTAGAAAGGTATTTGATTCGGTACCCGCAGGTGGAAAACCCGCTAGAGACGTCCGCATCTTCGGTGGAAGGACCAGGTGACCAACGATTTGGGGGCGCTCGGTACTACCACCTGGCGTCAGAAAGCAACTAATCGGGCTGACTGGCGGAGGCTACTCGACGCGGCCAAGGACGACACACGTCTGTAATGGCCAACTAAGTAATAATTTATTAAAATATATTCGAAATATGATAAAATAAAAATTGAAATATATTCACCCCTATTTTGAATCAAATGGGAGCAGGAGCGGGAGCTTTTCCTCTTTTCCCAGTTCCTCTATTCTGAATCTAATGCGAATGGGAGTTTTTTTTCCCTATTTTGCACCAAATTTTTCGCAAGTAAATTGTGTGGGAGATAAGTTAAAAAAATGTTGAATATAAAAAAGAGGTGAATATATTTAACATTTCGATCTTATATCAAAAATCTTAAAATTAAAGAACTTAAAGAATTTTGCATATTTTAGAATTAGGTATTATACAAATAAATTGAATAAATTAAGCAAATATGAACTACTAAAATTAGTCGTCTAATGAAATGCTGTCATATTTCAGGTTGTTGCAAGCTACATCAGGCTGCAACACATCCAACTGTGGACTAAAGGACTCTGGAGAAGGTGACGCAGCATATCTGGTTGAATTTACATGTATAACTTCAGGTGAAACAGTAGCGGAATAGTTCGACATACTGGAATTCCCTGATGAAACTGTTCGTATACGTGTCTGTTTTCGTTTAACTGTTTTGAATGTAGATTCATGCTTATTATATGGAGAAGTAGACAAAATTGTATCTATTGAATGTTCATCTACTTCAGATTCTAATTCATATTTCGGTATAGTATTTGTAGAAACTGTAAAACTTCGGATATTGGGACCCACTGACGAAATTGTTCTTACACCTGGTTGTTGATGTTCAATTACTTTATAGGAATATTCATTTAAGTTACCTAGCGTCGCTTGGTAAAGAACTTCATTGATCATTTTGTTGGCATATATTTGCTGATTGCGCTCCAAATTCCTGTACTGAACTTCCCAGGAAGTACTTAAAGCATTTGCTTCATCTAGTTTTATTTCTTTAGAGCTTGGCAGATGCGAAATAGCTTCTGATATAATCTCATTTCTTTCTTCGTTTTTTTTTCGTAAATGCCCATTGGATTGTGTCTAAAATAATTAAATAAGGAATTCTAATTAGATATAATTATGTACAGTTATATAAAATTGAAAAATAACACTAAAATATAAATAAATAAAATATAACAATACATGGAAATATATATTTTTAGCTTATTTATTGTGTATGGGGAACCTGTTTGCTTACCTGCTTAGAACTGTCATTTAATGCGTAGTCAATCGGTGGAGCTTTTTCCGGAATAGCCCTTAAGAACTTCAAAGAATTGAAATACCAAACATTGGAAACATACAGGTCATCACCTGTGGCA